CAATCTGCTCTGGGGTGTTGACTCCTGTTGGGGTCCCAGCTGTGAGCAAGTGGTTGGCCCCCAAGCTGGAGTCGAAGCACTGTGAAAGTGTAAACATGGGTTTTAATACCAGCAATACATTTTTGTAAAATTATTAACGACAATGAATTTTTGAGGAAAAAATTATTACCAGCAATACATTATTACCAGCAATACATTATTACCAGCAAAATATTTTGGGAAAAATATAACAACAATACCTTTTTTAGAAAAAATATTACCAACAATAAAAATCTTGTCGGCATTAGATAACCCGTAAAACAAACCAAACCAAACTAATCTGATTGTCTTCCGATGCATGATTTTCAAACCACGGGCATAAATACAGTAGGCCCTAATATCAGACTTAACTAAAATGACAAATACTTGCAGTATAGCAGTATTGCATTTTGTAATTAAATGTAGTTTACGTTATAAAGTCGTTATACCAGTGTCGAAAAAATGCCTTGAACATAGATATACTAAATACAATAATAATTTACTATTAACTGTCCGTTAGTACTGTGGGGCACTGACTTGGCTAACAGTCTAACTCTCTGCCTTCGGGCGGAGAGGAACCCGGACGAGGCTCCGCCGAAGGGCAGAGTCTCGTTCGGGGTGGTTGACTGCCTCTGAACCTGTTTATGCGGGTTCAAAGAGGGAATATTTTTGGCCGAGCCTACGGGCTCGGAGATCCCACGTTAAACCCGGCCTTGTGCCACATGTAACCCTCGTTTAGCTAAATATCACTGTGGGGCACTGACAAAGTATTAATACCGTGGGATTTTCAACCTATTTAAATTATTATAGATATGACATTTGGTTCTAAATTTTCTTGTTATATATTGTCTTCAGTATTCTTTCTAGTTTTTATAAATGAAAAAAAAACTACAAAAAAAACAAAAAAACAACAAATGACTTTATTTTGATAAAAGTTAAAAGGCCAATATTAAAAAAAAAGAATTTCCAACTTTCAAAAGTTCGAATATGCCAAAAATAGGTTTCCTTTTATTTACAATAAACAAACAACTACTTGTAATTCACACAAGTTTTATGCGTAAAAGCAGAATTTCTATTTGGTTACTTTTTTTAAATCGTTTCTCCACTAGTAAAACGATGAAGCCACCGAGATGCAAGGGGTTACTGAGAGTGAAGGAACATGAGAAATCGTCAGGGAGATGGAGAGAAATTAAAAGAAAGGGATTCAGCGATTGGTGTTGTATTTAAACATTTGAAGATTGTAGATATCATGATAACAAAGAAATCGGAAGAAAGTTACACAACCGAGAAGTGCGATGAAAGAATCTATTTATCCTTTACGAAAACACAACAATTTCTCAAGTAAACATCCTCTCCCTCTTCATCAAATCCAAAAAACCAATCCTCTTCTCCAGACGAGTCAAAATCGTTAACGCTAGGATGTCTGAAGCGAAAGTCTTACTTGATAGAGATATTCAGAATACAACTTGATTTACGAAATTTTAACTTGCCACTTGCTGAATGTTAAGGAAATATTTTGTGTATTGTTTACACACCACCTAACGGAGGGCTAAGACTATATTTACCTTGAATATAAATGTTATGTGCATATTTCAATAACCTGATACGTAGGGATAATTCTCAGTACATGTTCAGAATGAGAGGCATAATAGCAAATGTCATTTGCTCGAGATCTGAATTTGCCAGAATTTAGTCCTAAGAACAATGGAAGGGAGGTTAAATACAATTTTTTAAATGGTTTTAGTCAAAATACCCCCATTGTGACCTCGAACGTTTATTTCAGCGTCCTTTTTACTTTTCAAAACAGTGCAAAGTTCTCTATAGGGATCACCATCAGCTGCTTCATGGTCTTCTCTTTAATCTTGTTCACAGTCCGACGATAATTTTAACGTTGTTAAAATCTAAAACTTTTAGCGAATCAAATCTGGTTTGTGGTGGTAGGGACTAACAGACCTGGCTGATGCATTGTTTTCTAAATATTCGGTCGGGATGTGAACACTGGGGAGTTGAAATATTCGAAATGACTGGAAATTTTCCCGAAAAGGCCGAGTATCATTGAACTCTTGTTATATAATTTGTGATGTGACGAATTGTAATTGTGATGCGGGTATTAGCGTTGGCCTTTGCTTTTTTAATGGTACATCAACTACTTATGTGTCATTTAATGCTGAAATTTAATTTTCTTGAGGGCATTAGTAATTTCGTTTACGAAAATGTATTGCTGGTAATATTTTATTTTTTCCTTACAAAAATATATTGGTGCTAATTTCCTTTCTGTGAAAATGCACCGCTGGGACCTTTACTATAAAAATGTATTTCCACAATTTCATAGTGTTTTGACCCCAGTTTAAGGTTAACTATTTGCCCATAGCTGGGACCTTAACAGATGCTACCACCCCAGGTTAGGGTAGACCTGCAAACAACAGCAATTAAGAGGTGGTTCCATGCTCCTCAAAACCTCCCGATCAGAGGCCTTGCTGCTGGATGCAGTTTATCATCATACCCAAGACCAGGGCTGCGGAGTCGGAACACAAAATCTCCGATCCCAACTCCTCTATTTTTTGCACCGACTCCTGACTTTGTAATTACGTAATTATGGCTTACATATCTCATAATTCTTATGCATGCACTCCCAACTTGAGTAACTTGTATTATTAGCAATAATCTAAAATAAAATAAAAAAATCAACTGAGAATGCTAAGCATAATCTATGCTATAATAAACAAAGAAAAAGAAGGAATAAAAAACAGTTAACAAGAAATAAAAAAAGACGTCGCAGTGAGAAAAAGAGATAAAAATAAACAAAGAAACGGTGTTAAATGAATTTATCCCTGATAAAGAAAAGTCCACGTTACCGTGATAAATGGATTCCGTAAATGTGTTAAAGTAGAGGGACTTTATACATTTATCGAATCCTCCGGAGTCGGAGTCGGTATAGTTTTACCGACTCCAGGGATCCCTTATTTGCTTCCGACTCCAGGGATCCCTTATTTGCTTCCGACTCCGACTCCGACTCCAGGGATCCCTTATTTGCTTCCGACTCCGACTCTAGGGATCCCTTATTTGCTTCCGACTCCGACTCCGACTCCAGGGATCCCTTATTTGCTTCAGACTCCGACTCCAGGGATCCCTTATTTGCTTCCGACTCCGACTCCACAGTCCTGCCCAAGACGAGTGAGATTAACTGTTTTTTTTTTTTTCATAAGGAAATATTCGACATTCATCGACAGAACAATTAGTGATATGGGCGGTTGAAATTTGTAAAATCTTTATCTTAAAACAGTCTTTTAGGAAAATGGGTTTCTCACGTCCACTAATTGCTGTCAATCTTTCTAGTATCGATGGCAATTGTCTTCCTAACCTTCTGTTTAAAATAGTTTAGAACGTCAACATCTTGATTGCTATTATTTCCGTTTACAGTTACACGTACTATCCATTTTAGTTGTCGCAACTATTGAAAGTCTTCAACTGATGTAGTTTCTATTATTTGGTAAATTTCTTTATTTGTGATTCTGTAGCGCCAATATACAACATTTGACAAAATACAGTTATTTTCAAGAGTTCATTTCGCTTGAAACCATTTTTAATCATTAATATGAGAAAATGGCTGTATATAGCTGATAAGTTTAGACATTTCTGAACGAGTTGAAGGCCATGTATTACATCCATATCAGATCTGACGCGGTTTACTTAATAACTCGAGATAATGTTTCGCTTTTGTAGCATCTTGCGTTGTTGAACATAACTAACTCTAGCGCAGTCTAGTCTACGTTCAGTTTCCTTATCTTGGGAAATTTGTTGCAAGTGCTCCGAACACCGAAGTATTAGAAGTGTTTAGTATTTATTAATTTCATATTCTGTGTTTTTCTTATCATGTATTCATCGTAGGTGCCACCACTGCCTTCATTTACATTCTTCGGGTGATATGTGCTATGCATTTTAATTGTTGCTGCAGTTGAAAGTCTTCAAGTGTTTTCTATTATTTGGTACAGTTTTTTGTTTATAATTCTGTAGCACCAGTCCACGATATTCGAAGGAGGATGTTCCTCGCTAAGACCTACAGGATTAATTCGTTCGGAGTCATTTTTAATCATTGGCCTAGGGAAGTAGTTGTATACTGTCGAGAGTTTAGGGCGTCATGCATGGAATCCATGTGAAAGTCCAATCTTACGAGGCTGGTTAAGAACATAACTCGAGATTTTAGGTTAATGCTTTGGTTTTGTAGCAAATTGTGGTACTGGGTGAAACTATCTCTAGTACATCCTAAGTGTTTATTAAACAACTACATCGAAATGTTCGTCCAATCATTTTTCAATGTAGACACAACAGTGACAGAAAAAACAGCGATTAAAAAAAAACGTCTGTCTATATTTCTGAGATGAGGTGTTATGTACATTATTTACATTATTCGGACTATTGTTCTCATCTTTGTCGCCATATTTATCACAGCGTTTCGGCCGTTGTACACTCCGGCCTTCTTCAGGTGGTTGGAATGTCGAACTGAACCCTTTATTTTGCTCACTGGGGTAGACTGTTCTAGTTCCACGTACCATGTTTGATGGATGTCAGTTATTAGTTATCTCCTGCTAATTTCCCTCTGAAAGTTCTCCACTGCCTTAACCGGGTATTGAACTCACACATTATTGTCTTGTCACTGGATCTAACCAACGCCTTTATCCACTGTGCCATGTGTCCTTGATAAAGGTGGATAAAGGCGTTGGTTAGATCCAGTGACAGTCCTTGAGGACACATTGCACAATCTCGTGTCCATTCAGGACGTTGACGAACATGGCTCTCCACAATTTCCTGTCTTTTGTAGCTCTTAATAAATTTTGTCTCTTTGTTATCTCTCCGAAACTTTGCCTCGTCATCCATTTACTCAAACTCGCTTGGTGGGGGTCATGCGCAGTTTTCTTCTGTATCTCTTGCCTTTAATCTGTCCTTCAAAATTTCCAAGTCGTCTTTCCTCATTACGTGCAGGCTTACGGCCACATCACGTTGAAACGCCGATTCCCGTACGATCACCGAAGTTAAGCTACGTCGAGTCTGGTCAGTACCTAGATGGGTGACCGCTTGAGAGTATCAGGTACTGTAAGCTTCGGTGTAATGAATAATGAGAGCCGAGTTCCAATTCCACTTGGGTTCGTTATATTCACTATGAGCAAATTGGGAAAAATATGAATCCATCTCTTCTTTCCCCAAGCTATGGATTAATTAGTAAGACTTGTATCACTAAATCATTATTATCTCTAGCAAAAACTTTTTACGATCTAAAAATGTTTTCTGACTTTAAATATTATTCAGAGCGTTGATAAGCCGTAAAAACGAATCAATTATTATGCGACCTAGAAATTTCAACTGTCTCTTCCAGATATTAAATATAAATGTCCTTTTTGTTTCAATTTTCTCTAAAAGTTCATCGTTGCTCACATGTTTGGTCCATCGTATTCTCGGAATCCTTCAATAGAAACTTATTTCTGTTGCTTCAAGTCTCTTCTTTATCTCCTAGTAGATTGTCGAGCATTCAGGGTCATATAAGAGAAATGATATTAAGTAACACTTCAGTATTCCTTTTTTGTTTCTATCGAAATTTTTCTGTTTCCGATTTCTAAAAAATGTGCCTTGAATTCCAAGTTTTCCATCTCCTAGACTAGATACCAACCAAGGCCTGAGAACCGAGTGTGCTCTTCAGTTTAACCTCATAGCTGTGGAAGAAGGAATGTATTCATGATTTTCTCAAGGGCACGAGTGTGAAGTCTCTTAGCCGGAAACGGAATTTCACTCAACGATTTCATTTTCCGCACTGGTCGGCTACCCCTCGCCATTACGCAGGAGATATACACAGGAGATATAGATATTTAATAGAAAGATTTATATTGATCTCTGTCTATATTTCTGAGATGAGGTATTGTAACTATTTACACTATTTACTATTGTCCTCATCTTTATTGTCATATCCCCAAGGGCACATGGCTCAGTGGATAAAAGTGTCTGTTAAAGTAATTCAATGACTTGACCCAAAGAATTGTGAGTTCAATACCTGGCCACAGCAGAGGTGGACAAAATCTTCGAGAGCTGAGTTACTAAAAGGAAATAACAGAAACTGAGATAGGAACTAGAACTCTCTACTCCGGTGGACGAAATAAAGTGTTCTGTGCGAAATCCAACATATGTCACTTGAAGAAGGCCGGAGCGTACAACGACCGAAACGTTGTGAATATGACAATAAAGATGAGGAAAATAGTCAGAACAATGTAAACAGTGTAAATCGTTATATTGATCTATACCTCTAAATACAAAAATACAGATAATAAAAGGAAAATATAAGATGCATATTGAAAAATATTTTCTTTAAGAAAGTAACTAGGTGTTTGCATTTCCATGACATCCAAAAGAAACAAAAAAAAAACATGAATAGGGATTTGAGGAAAATTGTAGGAATAAGTACGGATGATTCTCAAAGGGCTAAGAAATCGATTTGTAAATGAATTATTTCCTTATATTTATGTATTTTGTATTCTTTGTTGATATTCTGAGGACATCTGTCTCGAAAGATGTTTTGCTAAGACAAGCCGTGTCCATATACCTTCAGGCGCATGCGTGACAGATTCAGAATGTACTTTAATCCACTGACTTGTATACGTAAATCTATCGGCCGATCTGAATATATGAGTGCATCTAAGTAGGAATAATATTTCTGTCAATAGATTTTTCGCTGTTGCCATATTAATGCAACCAAAAACAACAGAGAAGGGCTCTGAGGCAAATTTATTCGATTATCAACCAACTGTCTACTTATTTGCGTTGTGCCGTAATGGATATCGGCTCGGAATGATAGAATCGTTGAACCGTGTTCGAGTTCCAATCGGGTTCATTATATTCACTTAGGCGTAAATACCCTTGTGAAAGGTATGAATCCATCTCTTCTCCTCCAAGCTATGGGTTGAATAGTCGGACAAACTGAGTTCTATAGCCTTAGTTGGCAACCACCCTACCTCAGAAAGGAATGGAAACCTACTGTGGGAAAATCTGGTAAGTCAGTCATGAATCCAAAGAGACATCATTGTCGAAACGTGTATTACGTATGGCACTTGAATGACTGACTGTCTTCTCATAAATGTATGTATCGTGTGCAACAGCAAAATTGTCCAAATCGTGTAACAGCAAAATTGTCCAACTGTTGGATTAAGCTTTGAACCGGTGTATCTTAGAAATGATTAAATATATTTTAGTGGAATTCTCCGCGCTTTGAACCATAAGAATGTATTTAGCTCTAAGTTGAAATGATGACCCCTTCTGCTGTTGTGACCTCTGGATATAGTTTTCATCTCTATTGTTCCCTCTTTTTAAAACTTAATCACCGTTCTCTTGATCTTTCTATAATGAGCTTTGAAGATGGAAGTCAGAGTGTGAATAATGGTACCATTTCTGAAGGCCTGAATGATAATTTCCCTCTCACCATTGCTCAGTTAGCAAGATATAGTGGGGCTGACACAAAACGATTTCAACCTGTTCTCTTTTTAGCTGAATAACTCGAAGGGTTTTTCATTAATTCTTACGAATGGTGTCAAGCTGGAAAACAGAAACACAATTAGTTTAGTGGTATTTTAGATATTAAACGTTTTGTGGGATGAACAATTATACTGTTACAGGATTTGGACAACTTTATTGCAACAATCGGTACGTCAGATTATATACAGTTGTGCAGGTTATTTAAAGCCAGAAAATATTTTTTAGATTTTAAGAAGTTTTTTGAGATAATAATGATTCAGTGGTACAAAACTTACTATTTAACCCATAGCTGGACGTAGAAGAGGTAGATTCATCCGTTTCCCAAGGGTATTTGCGCGTAGATGAATATAACGAACCCAACAAGAATTGGAACTCTGTTCCCCGGATTCTAAGTAACTATCCATTACACTACCCTCACCTAAGTTTACTGCACCTGGCATTTCTAAGCGGTCACTCAGTTAGGTACTGGTTAGTCTCGGCGTTGCTTAATTATGCTGATCGTACGGAAACCGGTGTTTCAACGTGATGTGGCCGTAAACCTGCATATTGTCTGACATGTATACGAGGGTCGGTGGAAAGTTCTCGACCTAAAGTAGTTCACTCAAACAAAACCAATGATTAAATATCATATATTGGTGGGAAGGACTCCTAGGGCAGTCTGGAACTTCCTCGGTGCCTTCTCTCTCTCTCTCTTTCTCTCTTTCTTTCACTCACTCACTCACACACACACAAACACGCATGTAGACACCCAGTTCCAACCGAGCGGTGACAATCTTCAAGCTATGTGCGTTGTGTGTTGTCTAGATTTTTATATATACTGATTAATGGTGCATGATGGGTAGGAAGATTTTTGACGACGGGAGAGTCGAGTATACACACACACACACACACACACACACACACACACACACACACACATATATATATATATATATATATATATATATATATATATATATTGTGCATTTAGGCAGCAATGCTTCTTTCAGGCAAGCTTCATTAAATATGCCAAACAAGGTACTTTGATTCAGTTTTTTTATATAATTTCTCATATAATCTTATAATTTTTTCATTTCCATAGATAAATTATACAATTTATTTTCCCAATCGCTTTCGGCTATACCTTTAGCCATTATCAAGGAAGAATTGTATTTACTGTTAACTGAAAATGGATTGTTGTATGTATTTAGCATTATAGAATATTTTATTTTTAAAACATAGTCAACATACTGTGTCCATATTCATAGTTGATATTACTGAGGGTTTTTTTTGTTTTTTTTTTTGTTTTTATTAATAAGGCTTCCATTATATATGAATTTACGGATGTATGTAGGTAAGTACGTATATACAGTGGGGTTGAATAAGTGATCGTACACATGAAATATTTCATATTTTTATTTGTAACATATTAAATTAACTAAATGGGAATATATCTACTGTATCAGATTGCATACAAAAAATGTATGCATATAAAACTAAATAATATTCCATGGTTAAGAAAATATAGCAATATTTAAATTTTTAGGGGTTTAAAAAATGACGGTACAGCAGAACAAAAATATGTTTTCTCCATTTAATATTTTGTAGCAAAGCCTTTATTAAGTTCAACTGCAACCAATCGCTTCCTGTAGTCTTTAATTAACGATTCGCATACTTTAGTAGGTATTTTGTCCCATTCTTCCTGAATAATTGTCTTCAGGTTTTTGATGTTTGTTGGACCTTTATCACGGATCTTATTTTTCAAAAACCGCCATAAATTCTGTATTGGATTCAAATCCGTCGACTGACTGGGCCATTGTAAGATGTTATGTTAACGTTGTTATTAGCAAACCAATTCGTCGTACTCTCAGCAGTATACTTGGGATCATTGTCCTGCTGGAAGATCCAATCAGGAGGAAGCCCAAGATTTTCTACAGAAAGCGATAAATTTTCGCTTAGGATTTGTTGATATTTTTCTGCATTCATTCTACCGTCTATAATTGCTAGTTTGCCATCGAATCGAAAAGCAGCCCCAAACCATGATACTACACCCACCAAATTTTACAGTTGGTATGGTGTTCTTGGGTGCGTATGCCTTGCTGTTTTTCCTCCATATATGATTCAAGGAATTGCGACCGAACAACTCAATTTTACACTAATCTGTCCAAAGAACTCTTACCCAATAAGAATTTTCCTTATCTTTATGATCTGTCGCAAATTTCAACCTGACATCTCTATGCCGTTTCAGAAGGAGTGGTATCTTTCTTGGGGAGCGCGACTTTATACCGTCTCTGCGTAGTTCATTACTAATCGATTGCTTAGTTACGTTAACTCCTGACAAACTCAGATCATTCTGAGGGTCTTGTTTGATGGGCATTGGATTATTTTGGACCTGTCGCATCAACTTTCTTCGTAACCTGGGAGAGAACTTCTTGGGAGCACTGGGTCTGCCTTTGTTCTCAACAGTATTACGTCTTTTAAATCTTGCAATAAATGAACCAATTGTTGAAAAAGGTACGTTCGTGTCACTGGAGGTGTTTCTGTTTTCCATTGTTCCATAGCTTAAGTCATTTCCTTACGTCTAGCCATTATTAGAACCGTTACC